AGACTTGGGATCATGTGAGACCAGCCTGTTTTCGTGAGACCGTGAGACCAGCATTTTACATTTGAAACTTCACAGCAAAAATGCTGTGAAGGTGACTTTTTAAAACCTTTACAGTGTTTTTGCTGTGAAGGTTCGATTTTTTAAAACATTCACAATGTTTTTCCTGTGAAGTTTACGAGTAAAAACGTGATCTCACGAAAACAGGCTGGTCTCACGTAAACCCAACCCTATATATATATATATATATATATATATATATGGTTTTATGACACTAGATTAAAAAAACATAGATAAACGAGCAATATAATTTTATACATATTATCTTCTCTAATATAATTAATTAATACACATTTGGACTTTTAACATAATGCTAAATTCGTTTTTGTTCCTATTATGTACTAAAAAATTGTCTATTTTATTTTACTAATTTTTGAACTCCATTAGTAAAAATTTAGGAGCCCCTATGCACAAAATTATCTATTTTACAAGATCCCATTTATATTGAAAATGATATGGCACGTGAATAAGAATATGGTTGGGGTTCGGTGAGAAAGAGAGTTAAGATGAGAAGTGCAAGAAAAAAGATATTTTACTTTTGGATGCATATGAGGATGAGATACACCGAATCAATCACTTTGTATCCATGGATTTGAGATTAAAAATGATCAAAGGTCCAGATTTCCTCTTATACTTCTTAGTTTAACTCTTATTCTCATACGATATTCGAGAGTATACGGTATCTGAGTGACGGCTGCTTTGAGCTTTGATATGCATAATACTCTTAACCATATATATAGTAAAATATTTTAATATAATAATATACTATAATGTATTAATATAATATATAATATGTTATTTTTTATATATTATATTAAAATCGACCGAAGCGCCTGTTGGAGGAGCGCAACAACGGGAAGAGAACTGAACATCGACCGGAGCAATGGTGGAGACTGGAGCGACGTCAGAGGCGGAAACCGGAGCAGCAGCGAGAAGGCGAGTGGTGGCTATGGGCGGCGACAAGAATGAGAGGTCGAGATGGAGACGATTGGAGAACGAGCGACATGGAAGGATAGAGGCGACGTTTTAGGGTTAAGTAATGATGATATGGCAACTTAGGGGGTGTTTGGGATTGCTTATTTAAAACAACTTATCCTTTTTTTTATAAAAGTGCTTATTAACTTATGTGGTATCAAACCGGAATTAAATAAAATAGGGTGAAAATTGTAAACTGATAATAAGCAGTTTTTCATAAGTCATGAAGGATTAACTTATCAAAAACAGCTTATTACCGGTTTGGCACCGGTATAAACAGTTTTTTTTTCTTATCCAAACACCAGAAAACAGCTTATCACCGGTGCCAGACTAAAATAAGTTAAAAACCAGCTTTTAATTTTCATATAATTTTTTTTATCATTCCTTTATCTCGGCATGAAAATTACCAATTACCGGTTCAATAAATCAATCAAACCCTTGAATAAACAAAAATTTTAATCTAGACATTGTTTATTATTTAGTAAATATAACCTTAGCTTATTTTTTTAGGCACATCTTTGCATAGATATAAAACCAGCCTTATTGAAACGCTAGTTAGAGTAGCTTACGAGGATTGAAGAGTTTTTGGTCACTTTTTCATTATAAATTTCATTCATATTAGTTATGATTTATTATTATAAATTAAAAATAAATATTATAATATTAATTAATAGTAAATAATATTAGTTTAAAGTTATTAACTAATTTTAATTATACATTATGCATAAATATTAATTGTTAATTATTTAAAATTATTATTAATCATATTCAATTATTTTAATATCATTATTTTTTAATTGTTATGTAAATATATTTAGTTATTAAAAAACAAATATAACAATTAGGTTGATCAATTTTATTTTTAGGGGATGTTTGGCAGTTGCTGAATGGTTCGGTACAGAACGACTAAGTAGTCAGAATGATTAACAGACTCTTATGATATAGTACAAAATGAAATATAATTGTTCAGTAATTGTTTACAATGAAATTAGGGCGCTGAATGGTTAAAGAGAGAATCATGATACAAAATCACGAGGGTTTTAGAATCATTAAATATACAGACTTTTTTTTGTCAAACAAAATTCACCTCTTAACGATCCGGAGACTGTCTCTTAATGGAACTATTAAAAGGTAAATAAATAAGATTCACCTCTTAATGAAACTATTAAAAGGTAAATAAATAAGATTCACCTCTTAACGATCCGGAGACTGCCTTTTAATAGAACTATTAAGAAGTAAACAAATAAGATTCATCTCTTAACGACTCAGAGACCTTTTTTTTCAAACAAGATTCACCTTTACTTATATTATATGTAATGATTATTAAAATTTATAAATCAATGTTAAAAAATATCTAAATTTTGTTTTTAATAAATCCAAAAGTTATATAGTAATCAATTAAAATTCTTTTAATTTAATACATTATATAAACAAATTGGGATTCATTTATCAACATATTTTTTTCTTCCGTTTGAATTCATTTCAATAATTCTTTTAGTCGAGAAACTCAACGACACTATTCTTGAACAACTTGGGGCCGGGCCTTCTTTTCGCAAAAAAAATTCTTACATAAATGCTACTCCCCTTTTTACAGATATTTATTTTATTGATCAGTAATAATAATGTCAGAAATTAGGGCTAGAAACTTGAGGATCAAACGTATTGGTACTAGAGAGAAATGATAACTCCGACAATTTCCAATTCGAGATTTTCCTTGAGAGGTATCGGGAAGGAATTGGAATGGCTCTATTTGCGGTAATTTCTATCTATTATTTTGGAGAGATTGGACAAATTATTCACAGGCGGAAGAAGAAATGCAAAATAGGATTGATAGAAGAAGCACAATCAGAAATCAAATAGAAATAATGAAAAAAGAGAAAAAAAAAAAAAAAGGAAGGCCAGGAATAAAAAAAATCCCAACTGGTTGATTAATTTGTATGACCATCGAGGGGGATAATTCAAATCGAAGCAATTGGATGTCCAATTCGACGATGAAGCTTATCCCCCATCGTCTCACTGGCCGACCTTGACCCCTGTTATTTTGAGGTCATATCTAGTATTCAGAGTTTGCCTCGATTTGGTACCGCGGGAAATTTTTTCTTTTTTCATCCGATTTAGTCATTTTTCTGTTCCAAGTCCTCGTTTCAAAAAAATACGCCGCCTGGGGGCTTTACCGGGGCTAACTAATAAAAGGCCCCATTCCTAGTCTTTAAATTCAAATTGAAAGAAATTAGAATTCTCAATTCTCTACGGATTCGCGGCATGTCAAGCCCTGGTAAGGTTCTTCGCACCAAAACAATCTTTTGGTTACTCACTGGAAACGCGGGTAAACTCATTTTATTAACTTCTTTTCCTTAACCCGAAAAAATTGGATAGATCTACGAGAAATCTTATTCAGTTAGATATGGTAGATTCAAATGAGATACAAAATTCTACTTGAGCATCCAAATCTGGGTCAATCCCAGCAAAAACATCTCTAAACAAGGTTCGAGCACCATGCCAAATGTGTCCGAAGAAGAAGAGCAAAGCAAATGAAGCATGCCCAAAAGTAAACCTGCAATTATCTCGAACAAAATGTCTGTTATGCTTAAACATTTTACATATTTATCAACTAGCTTAAAAGTTAGTTTCTTTGCATAAGAATTATTTAAAATTTAATTTTATTTTAATGCAATTTTTTACTTTGAACGAAAACAAATATAACTTAAGTTCAATTTCTAAAATACCATGTCAATGGATTGGTAACAAACGATTAAAAGAAATTTGAGCTAACATCGGAGGGGTGCGCCAGGCCAAAGCAGTAGTGCAACACCAATGCAACGCTCAAAGACCCCAATAGCAAGCTATTGTATTGGATCTTTCCCCATAAAAAATAAGATTAATATCGAGTGGACCGTTGGTCCACATATCAGATATTAAACTGATAAGAACAGATACTACACTTGATCTTAGCCAAAAGGCCGAGAAAGGTATGCTTTCTTACTACCTGCGCCTTGGTTTTTATACCGCACTCCTGTGGCTTTTGTAGCCTTTACTCGGTCGATGTGGGACTCATTTTCACAGCTGGTCAAGGTGTTTAGAGCTGTTTGTTCTTTCACATTTAAGCGTTTAACTTGTTTTTTAATAAAACCAACAATGCTTTACTTTCAACCACCAAACCAAACAGAAAAAATCTCCTACAATGAGTAGTATTTAATAATCTAACTTCAATTCCATCATTTTGAGTTCGACCTTAACATTATATGTCAATATTCAAACCTAAAATAAAAATATATAAGTTCCTTTAATTTAATCAATTGACTTTTACACTAATGTTCTGACTGTTTTGTAATTGCTTGATAGTTTGCTTTAAAAAAAATCATTAACATGGATATCCAACCCGCTATACGATCTGACTAATCTCAGGACTAACACATTGGGTATACTTGAAAACGGCTCTTTTGCTCAAAAACGAAATGTTCCTGGAAATTTTTACTCCCAGTGGACTATTTGTATCTATATGCATCAGGATCCCGATTCATGGATCTCTCGGTTCAAGAGAAAAAAATAAGAGGATCGAACCATCTATTCTGACTCTTTTTCAAATTCGATAAATGTTGGTTGATCATCTATTTCGTTAGAGTTCTATAATTCAGATTTTCCTTTCCTATTTGATCCCTTTAAATTCCAGATTGAATAACTTGAAATCCTTCAAAGTTATTGAAATCAAGCTAATAATCGAGTTAATCAGTCTCAGATTCAAGCTCATAAACAAATATTATAAAAGCTTGAATCTAGGTCATAATGTACAATTCAAAATCGTTGATCAACTTCTCAACCTCGAGCACTATTTTGAAAAACCATTAGAGCTCAAGTTAAGCTTGAGTCTAATAGTATCCTCTTTACACTCGACATTATTCAACTCGTTAACACCCCTATCTTGAGGATATCAACCTCAATAGCTAGTATTTTGCAAGGACAATCCCAGTAACTAGGTGTAAACCATCACTCTTTCAACTCAAAAAACGATACCATATATAATTCAACAACTATTAAAAAATCATAATTCTCTTTCAAACAGCGTTGGTTGTTCGATTGATAACGGGATTATAGTTCTTGAATAAATAATAGAAAGGATATATGAATGCAAGAAAAATGTCACCAATCATAAGTTCACCAACTTCTAAAGAGTAAATGTTGAGGGGTAGCTTAACGAGTAAGATATGTTTGCTATCCAGAGATTACCGGTTCAACATTTTAGAGACGACTATAAATTTTCTAAACTCAAGTAGTTAAAACTTTTGAGGTTGCCCATTTATTTATTGTTAAGTCATAATTGTTATTTGTTAGGTATTTATTTTGGTTTTGTTCTCCATTAATTAGTTTAACATTTAACCACAAGTATCCGATAAAAGACAAAAAACGTGATTCACCGTCAAGTCTTATTAAAGGTCGTAATCGTTCCTACCATTTTTCAAAAATTAATATTTATCTTTGTTTTGGTGGAGTTAGAATGGGTTAGGATCTAAAGGATTAACCCGATGGCTTTTTATATGAACTTAAAGAGATTGTTAAGTCCTTAATTAATACTTCTAACCCATAATTAATAATCTTAACCAGAATTCAACTTTCAGATTTATTTTTCATGTTATCCTTTATTTTAAGACGATCAACACCTCAACGCCAAATACGAATTAAAACAGTTTCAAGAATGAATCAATAAAATATCTAAGAGACAATTCTTATATATCTGAATGATTTGGTTTATACATAACTAGAAAAAACCTTGATAACTAGAATTGGAGGGGTGCGCCAGGCCGAGGCAATAGTGCAACACCAAGGCGACGCGCAAAGACCCCAATAGCAAGCTATTGTGTTGGATCTTTCCCCATAAAAAATTAGATTAATATCGAGTGGACCGATGGTCCACGTATCAGATATTAAACTGATAAGAACAGATACTACACTTGATCTTAGCCAAAAGGCCGAGAAAGGTATGCCTTCTCCATACCTGCGCCTTGGTTTTTATATCCGTTCCTCTGGTCTTTGTAGCCTTTACTCAGCCGATGTGGGACTCCCATCCACTCTTTACAGCCGTTGGATGAAGCAAGCTAGTTAACAGCAATACACCAATATTTCTAACTGAATTTTATTTAATTTAATTTTTTTTAACTTTTATAAAATTAGCGAACGCAAGTAAATTCATAATTGCTGGAATAATTGCATTATATCTCTTAAATTGTTTTTTTTTGGGCTTAATTAACCATTTAGCTCATTATCTTGATAATTTTCTTAAATGTGTTAAAATAAATTTGGATCATACAAACACGTGTTAATATCGGGATACTTGCATTGTCATTGTAATCGTTATTTTGTTCATTTTATTGCCTTAAATAACCATTCATGTTATACATTTTATTAACGGACCGTTTACTAAATACTTACTCGGTAAGTGGTAATCAATAAAATTTAACATTATTATACTTACTGAGTAAGATTTTAGTCCACCAAAACGACATCGCATGCAACAATTTACCCGGTAAGTGTTTACCGTGGTAAGAGTCGTCGCCCTCACTTACCGGGTAAGACTCTTGGTCCTTCTCTCGTTCTTTCGGGTAAGATTTTTGGTTCTTACTATATTCATTACGTGAGGTAACATGACTTGGTAAGCTCTTACCCGAGTAAGTATTTGGTAAACGACCCTAAATGTGATAAGAATTTTGACATTTTCTATTAAATGACTTCAAGTAATGTTTGAAGAAATCATCATTAGTGATGATCAAATAAAAATGTTGCTTCTTGGAATGTTGTATGGTGTTTGACTCTCTGTCCTTGTCATGACAATGCTTAACAATGAGATTTATTATTTATGTAGCTAATGGAACATGTTCGGAAAAGATAGTGTTATATGTTCCTTTTTTCTTGAACGCTACTGCACGTCCGTCCACGGTGCGGTAAGGCACCAAATCACAAGCTTCTGATAAAAAACGAATAATATTCACCCTTTCTAACATTATACTGGATCACAGTTGCAAAAAGATAACTTTAGGTTAATAGGTGGATTGGGTAATTGGTCTGTTCTGGTTGCCATTTAGTTAATAACTAGTGGACATTGAGGTTCCGCTTGAACTCACCGCATTCTAGTTTCCAGGAGCGCATTGGAGTTCGAAAGCAAATATTAGTGAAATGATTTTGACCCCATTTAACAATGTAAGGATCTTGCTGTTATGGATTTAAGGGTTTAAACAAAATGTTGGGATCGTGACCAAAACAAATAAGATCTTGTTCAAATTCTTAATCAATTAAAAGAAATTGAAAAATCGTAGACTGCTTCTTCAAAGACCAAATGTTGAATGAATCAAGATGGCTAAACATGGATAATATGTGACTATTATGTCACAAATCACTTATAGGTTGAATAACAAGAAATCCTTGAAGGATTATTGAAATCTAAGCTCTAATAATCGAGTTAATTGGTCTCAGGTTCAAGCTCATAAACGAGATTATAAGCTTGAATCTATGTTGCAATATATAATTCAAAATTGTTGATCAACTTCTCAACCTCGAACACTATTTTAAAAATAAGTATTTGAATACAAGTTAAGGTTGAGTCTAATATTATTTTCTTCAACACTTAGACGACTCGTTAGCGCACCCCTATCATGAGGATATCAACCTCAATATCTTGCAAGGATAATTCCAGCAAGTAGAGAAAACGATACCGTATAGTTTGATAGTTAATAAACAAATATCTTTAATTGTACAATTGATTCAATTATCTGAACTCAAAATAATATTTTGAGGTTACCCATTCAAATATTCTTAAAGTCATATAATTGTTATTTGTTAGGTTATTTAATTACTCAAAAAAAGGTGATTCCTTTTTACGAGATTAGGCTTGATAAAAACTTGAGAACTAGAATTGGAGGGGTGCGCCAGGCCAAAGCAATAGTGCAAAACCAAGGCGACGCGCAAAGACCCCAATAGCAAGCTATTGTGTTGGATCTTTCCCCATAAAAAATTAGATTAATATCGAGTGGACCGATGGTCCACRTATCAGATATTAAACTGATAAGAACAGATACTACACTTGATCTTAGCCAAAAGGCCGAGAAAGGTATGCCTTCTCCCTACCTGCGCCTTGGTTTTTATATGCGTTCCTCCGGTCTCTGTAGCCTTTACTCAGCCGATGTGGGACTCCCATTCACTCTTTACAGCCGTTGGATGAAGCAAGCTAGTTAACAGCAATACGCCAATATTCCTAACTAATATTATTTAATTTAATTTTGTTGAACTTTTATAAAATTAGCGAACGTAAGTAAATTCATAATTGCATTATATCTGTTAATTTGTTTTTTTGCTTAAATTAACCATTTAGCTAATTATCTTCATAAGTTTCTTAAATGCGTTAAAATAAATTTGATCCCTTTTGTAAATGAGTTGTTTGTATAAAATTGTTATCATAAATAATTACATAAATGTATTATTTCTTCAAATGTTATTCATATATGGGTATTTAGTCTTGTTGCATTATTTAATAATATGGTACATTTTTTCACAGTATTTTAAGAAATAGGTTCGATAGATCGAAAATTTATATAATTTCTTTTCACTCCGAGCAAATATCAATGAAATGATAACGACTCATCTAACACCGGTAATAATCTAGTTCTTAGAATATTAATATTTAAACAAAATGTTAATTTAAACCAACACAAATCAAACTTTCCTAATCAATTAAAAGAGTCGGAAACTGTTGATAGCCTCTTATACAACACCAAAGTTGAACGAGTCATAATTGGCTGAAGACTAATACGTGACTTTAGTTGTCATTTCATAATTACACATCATTAAATTTTTTAGTAATCTTTCCAAAAAAAAAAACTCCAATGTTAGTTATCGTATAAAATTTGATTAACAGTATTTGAATAATATTTAAAAAGTACAGGTTAAAAATAACTATTCAAAATACATGTATTAAGACATCATTTATTTACGTACTGCACAAGTTATGCAGTAAACCCACAAGTAATACTTTAATTTAACGTGTGCTCATAACTTTAGGACTGCCAATCAGACAAATCAACCATTTGTTCTCTCCAACTATAGGATCTACAAGCCTTCTCTTCAACCCCGATCTTATTGACTTCTCACAAACACCATATTTTGGTCTTGATACGCTCTCGAAACACGGTGATGATTCCTCGAGGCTCTCGACGCTTGCGTCTTCCACAATCTTGTTCACGACCTCCAACACTTCGCTCATCTTTGGCCGCATTCTTGGTTGTCTAAGCAAGCATTTGTTAGCCACGGCTGCTAGTTTTTGCGCCGACTTGAGCGAGTAATTCCCTGCGAGCCGAGGGTCTAGAATATGTTCGAATTTTCGCAGGTCACGTGAAAGGTGTGGTCTAACCCATTCCAAGAGCTTCTGCTCGTTTTTTGGCTTATTACGGTCCATCGGCCGTCGACCGGTGATTAGTTCGTACAAAAAGATCCCATAGCTCCATACGTCACTTTTATACGTTAGGCGTCCTGTTTGGACATATTCTGGAGCTGCGTATCCAACGGTTCCAACTACCTGTTCAGATTAATAAAATTTTAAATTTGGGTTAGAACGGGTCGATTTAGGTTCAATTTTCTATTTGCATTATTTGGGTTATTCTCCGACCAACCCAACTCAACTCGGCCCACATAAATATAAAAACCTTCGAGGATTACTAAACAGGGTTTCAACGTACTGCTGTCGACACATGGCTTAGCTCGTCTGACGGGCCAAGCCGAGCCAACCCGAAATCTGATAGCTTCGCATTCCAATTCCCATCCAAAAGAATGTTTGAAGATTTGAAATCTCGGAAAATTATCTACATGACCATAAATCAATAACACAGTTGTTAACAAGATTTTCTTTAAACAAAACAACCATATAAATCATCTTTTTGTTGGCGGAAAGCGCATAGATTTATATAGTTATTTCGAGTCTAGTACCTGAAATTCCATGCCTTCGTGAAGATAAGCTAAGCCACGTGCAGCATCCTGCGCAATTTTGAGTCTAGTAGACCACGGAAGAGGCGTCCGAAACCTGTTACACAAATGATCTTGAACGCTCCTATTTGGCATATACTCGTACACAAGAAGACGTTGGATTCCTCTTTCATCATCCACAGCACAATACCCCACAAGTTTGACCAGGTTCGGATGGTCAACGAACCCCAAAACGTTCACCTCCGTGACCCATTCTTTGTGACCCTGAGAAATTAATCCAAATGGAACCACAATATCATGTTTCCTTATAAACCAGTGTACAAATACAGCTCCTAATCATGCCCCACTTCAATGTCAAACCTAGTACTTTTAGAATCCGCAATTAGTATGAAAGGTTCTACCGTTTCTAACAATCGTTCTATTAGTACGTAGAGTTTATTGTATAGTTTAACGAAGTTACATGCATACAACAAATTTGAGATAGAATTGAATAAATTTTGAAGTTCAACACTAGATTCTTTGACTCAAAAAAGTCAATCATGACCAACGGTTTGTCAAACCCAGAACATGTGAAATTCATGATGAATATGAATATGAATTGCGTAATATTTGAAGTTCAAAACTAAGTTCTTTGACTGTTACAAGTAAATTATGACAATTATCATGTAACTTGACCACGGGGAAAGAAAGTAAACATAAACATTCATATGCTTTCAAGAAAATTAACATAAATCAAGAAGAATGCCATTAAAACAACCATGATTTAACTAGATTTCGCTACTTTGGCAAGCTGGGGCTTCTCGAAAAGGTAATTATGTGTTCATACTCAAGAAAGTGCAAGTAAAAGATCAAGAAACTAAACCTGCAATCCCCTTCTGCTAAGTTGTTTGACAGCAACATCAATCTTCTTACTCGAATCATCCGTATCTCTTATTACAGCCCGATACACGCCTCCAAAACCGCCTTCACCGATCATGAGGGCCCGGCTAAAGTTCCTCGTGGCTGCTTTCAGCTCAGCGAATGCAAATTCCCGGAGATTGTTGTTACTCCTACCACTTGGGTTTTGAGTCAAACTTGTGAACGAAATCCTTGTGGATGATTCGGTGCTAATATCAGAGATATCCATTGACATAAACTCGGAGCCTGATCTCCTCCCCTCTTGACCATTCCACATGGAGATGGGGGAGCGAACCGAAGTTGACTTTGTACTCTTTGGTTCGCCATTTTTGTCTCCATGGGAGAAGGAGAAACACTTCATAGCCTTCATGGTTCAGCAAGATTTAGTAGCCATGATCACAGACAAATTAAGAACTCTCCTTCGTCACTATATACACACATACAATGAATCAAGAAAGTGTTTGTGTACAATTTTATGATTTTGTTGCTTATTATTGCCCCTCTTTTGTTTTTAATATTGAAAACAAATCAAATGAACTCCTTAATCAATACTAACCACAGCAATATTGAGCAGGATAATAAGGATTTGAAGATGATAAAAGATTGCAGGGTTATAATCCATCTTTCCCAAATTAAACGAGATTTATCGATCATGATATAAGGAATACAAAAGGCTGATCTAATTTGGGATTGGAGGGTTTTTTCTGGGAATACAAAATCAAGTATCGATTGAAGAAAATCCCAAATTGGTTTTTTCAATTCATCAGCTTTGATCAATAATTGACAAAAAAAACCCATCAACTTTTGTGAAGATCACACCCAATTTCCACTGAATCAGTAAATTCCCAACTTACGAACACGCATATTCAAATAAGAAAAATATGAATAAAATGAATAAATACCTTACGCAACCTTCGCTGAATATTTTGGGGGAAATCAAGAACTATGAGGCTCCAAAAACCCTAATTGAGGGAGATTTAAAAGAACCCAGATGCTAAGGAGAAGAAAGGGGGATTGATAAAGTGATTACAAGGACAGGCAGCTGGAATTTAGCTTACCAAACACATCTTATTATCACCCAATGAAACCAACACAGAGGGATGATGGTGATGAATATATGGAGGGAAAAGAGGAATACAGGGACATTTATATTTTTAAATTATTTTTATTTTTTATTTTCTTTATAACATCATTTACAAATTACATAAAATAGCTATTTCATTTTATTTTAATTAAAAAAAATTATAGAAAAATAAACTACCTTCTTATTCTCTGATTCATGAGTTAAATTCTCAATTGAACAAACAAATATAATGTTTAATAAATGTAAACTTCCAGACATGGATGCATATTAGGATGAGATGTATTGAGATAAGACCCACTTGATCAATCATCGTATTAAGCACGATACATAAATGAATTTGAGATTAAAGGCGATCAAAGGTACATGTTATTTCTTACACGTCTCACATGATACTCATTTGTGTGCCTTATAGTGTTTGGTAGATGTTACTTTTAATTTTGATTTTTCAAAGTCAAAATAATTAGAATTTGGAAAACATGTAAGAAGTTGAAAAGATTATTTTTAAAATACATGTACTTATATTTGTATTTTAAATCAAATGGTCGTCTGATTATATATGTTAAAGTCATGATAATCACTTTAAAAATACACATCCAAACAGCCATGATTAATGTTGTTCATATGTAATGCATAAGACTACATTGTTTTGCTTTTTCTTTGAAACGTCATTACGTCAAACGGCAGTATAACCTCATCCCAAAATCCGTCATAGTTTTACGTGTGTAACTTCATCAATATGGCGGTCAACGCATGTAACACCATGTTTTCCATACTTGTAATGACTAATAGATATTATAAATACTACACAATAGCATATATGTTATAATAATTGTAGCAAAAATCTTAAAACGTCGTTATAACCTTTAAATAAACTGAAATACTGAGTGTGGGGGTAAAAAGTCAACTAAAATTGAACAAGTCCAGTTGGTAAACACATCATGCTTAAAAACAACATATGAAACATAAATAAATACTTTATTGATTTTGCTTTTATCTTAACACTTCATGAAACACGTATTATCAGTCATCTTCATGCTAAGCAAGTCATGGTTTATATACGATATATTGTTCCACATTTTCTAGGTCAAATGAAACTCATGTGCAGTATGTGTAGGTTCAACAAATTCTGATAAAATACTATTAACACAGGTTTTATTTGTATTATAGTCACTTGTTTTGATCACTGGACTTGTTATAAAGTTGACTTATCATTGTACAATGATATGAACAAGGTCAAGTCGAAAGAAGTCTTATGCAACTCTAGAAGTTGTTTTTAGTCTTGTGTACACCAACTCGTCTTAATTATATCGTATTAACTGCTTAATGTGCCCCTTCATATGAGCTCTTAGCTCACATTACCTAACACACACGACTTTCTTTGATGAGTCTCATACTCGCGTAAAGTGACCATCTTCTTGACCTGGTATAAGCAACCTCGTATGTCACACCGAAAGTCGCGTTGTGTATGAAGCATACACTTGACACCACCAAGAACATAGAAAAAGCATTTGAATCTATTTCTTAACCTACAATTGTTAGCTTTTCTTGTATGAAAAATTACAAAACACTCTTAATCATCTTATGACATGTATACACAGTACTTAAACCAACATAACATGCTTTAATTTGTGCATATCACACACATATATACTTTTAACGAATTGATGGCCTTAAGGCCTCATTTTCAATAGCACTTACATGCAAGTGATTTAACAATACATCATTGCCAATGTAGGATCATAAAAACACATGTTTTGCATAATATTCATACCTCAGGTTAGCCTAGACTCTAAGCACCACTTATTCTTTTATGTAATAAATAAATAAATAATAATAAATAAATAAAACTGACAACCCTTTTATTGCCTATGAACTAACAATTGAGCATAACAATGTGCTCCCAACTGTTGTCATCGAAAAATGATAGATTCATCCTCAACATTACAATTGAACATGTTTATGCCATTTATATTAGAGTTACTTAGGGTGTGTTTGGTGTCAGGACAAGACTGGACTGGACATGATAGAACAACTGTTCAACGTTTGGTAAGATAGCACTGGACAGAACAGAACAAGTAAAAATATTTCAGACAAACGAAATTTAATTTTTTGTTTCCCCTAAGCATAAAATACAACTGATTGTTAAACTAACAAGATAAGATTTATTTATCAAGACTGTTCATTATTTATTATACTAAGAATTTAATTAACAAATTTGATGTTGATCGTGGTTTTTTTTAATTCTATGGTATTTACAAATATAAGAAGGTCAACAACTATTAACAAAGTTTATTAAAATAAATGAATTTTTTTATAGTCGTCTGTTTTGCAACATTTTCTATTTATAATTTTTTTTTATATTTCAACCATGTTATAATTTAATCACATATGCTATTGGATTTAAAGGTACATGTATCATTTTTAATGCGGAATGTGACGACGTTTATTTGTACATTATCTCTATTTGCAAGTACAATAAGTACGGGTATATAAAAAAACATAATTAATTGTATCGAAATAGTTTATTCATAAGTAGGTGAAGTAGGTTTAAAGGACGTAAGTACGCATACCTTTCATGATAGAGAGGTTGTCTCCGATTTTTTATTTAGCCGTTTATGTATATAAAAGTGAAAAAAGATAACTAGATCATTGTGGTTTTTAAGCATTCAAATTTAGTATCATTATGAAAAAACGTCACTGCAAAAAGAACGTCATTGAATGCTTAAAAACCAGACAATTAACACTATACTACAAATAAACATAAACGAACATTTATAAAAATAACACCGACTTAATGTTTACGAAAAAATGATGTTGGTAGGTTAACCCAACTCGTTTTGACACGATCCATTTTATCATATCATCCAACCTGATTATTTTATCACTTTATAAATATTAACAAATAGAAGAATATTCTTCTCGTACATGCCTTGTTCTAGTCCCCATTTACATAAAAAGAAGTTGTTTATAGAAATAATCTAATAATCGTTACTTGTGAAATAACCAGCTTAAAAATTAAATAACAGTAACCCAATAAAACAACACTGGATAAATCCAAATGCATTGAACAACAAGTAGTAGAGCCAAAAAACAAACAAACGGTTAAAAATCTATAAACTTAATATAATTTAATTTAAAAGAAACACAAATTCTTTATACTATAATTTTTAAACATCTTTTACGATTAAAAAAATTGGAGGGTCGATTGCACTTTATAGCCTTTTTTATTGGTTACGTGATAACAAACAAACTATTTGGGTGTTTGAGATTGCTTATAAAAATAACTTATTGACTTATTTCGGTGTGACACCGGTAATAAACACTTTTGAGTGTTTGGATAAACAATTTATATCGGTGCCAAACCGGTAACAAAGAGGTTTTGAAGAAGTTAAATCATTCTGACTTATAATAAATTGAGAAGTGTTTTTGTAGAAAAGTATAAATTATTTAAAATAAGCAATCCCAAACACCCCCTATAAAGATAAGTAACAAGAAAACAAGAGATTTTGGAATAATAAGAAGTATAAGGACTTGGTTGTAAAGATATATAAAGTTCAAGGTCAGTTATAATCGATAATAAAACTGTAGGGACTCGTTTTGATCAAGAACCATACATATCCCATTTTTATTTAGAACTTGTTTCCCCCTTTTCTAAAACCCTAACCCTCTCGTCCCTTACCGTTTCTCCAAATCCGCAGAACCCTACCCTTCAGATCGGCGACAATGTCGATGTCGAAGAGTTCAAAGATGCTTCAGTACATAAATTACCGTATGCGGGTCACGATCCAAGACGGACGTCAGCTAGTCGGTAAGTTCATGGCCTTCGACCGCCACATGAATCTCGTAATTGGCGACTGCGAAGAGTTCCGTAAGTTACCCCCTGCGAAAGGTGCGAAGAAGAACGAAGAACGCGAGGACCGGCGGACTCTTGGTCTCGTTCTTTTGAGAGGCGAAGAGGTGATTTCCATGACTGTTGAAGGCCCTCCACCACCTGACGAGAACCGGGCCAAAGCCGTCGGAGCGGCTGCGTTGGCTGGTCCGGGTCTTGGTCGTGCTGCTGGTCGTGGAATCCCGACTGCGCCTTTAATTCAGGCTCAACCGGGTTTAGCTGGACCAGTTAGGGGAGTTGGTGGGCCTGCTCCAGGCATGATGCAGCCGCAGATTTCTCGACCACCTGTTCCGAACATGTCTGCTCCGCCCATGAACTACCCACAGGCTCCAGTGATTCGACCCGGACAGATGCCGTACCCTGGACAGGGTCCTCCTCCTCAGATGCCACGCGGACCACCTCCACAGATGCCCCCTCAGTTTGCTCAACGGCCTCCTGGTCAGTATCAGGTGCCTCCGCCCGGGCAGTACGGGCAGAGACCTATGGCTCCCCCTCCCCAGATGATGAGGGGTCCGCCACCACCAGGAGGAGCTCCACGTCCTGGTATGCCTGGTCCGCCTCCATCTGCTCGGCCTGGGATGCCTCCTCCTGGTGGGCAGATTCCAGTTTATGGCCCTCCTCGGCCTGGTATGCCACCTCCGCCAAACTCTCAGCAACAACAGCAGCAGCAATGATTGGTACGTGTGGCCTTATATTAGCGCATGCTATCTTGCTTGGACTTGAAATATGGGATGACGTAGTTTATTTCATGTCTATCTATTTGCATTTGGGCTCAGTTTAACTGTTTAAGTAAATATATGTGTATATTGGTTATCTTAGAGGGTACATTCAAAACCATGCATACTAACTGTTTTTCTCTGATGATTTATGGTACTACTCTTATGCATGACAAATCTTGTTCAGTGTTGCCTATATAGAAGTAGTAAATAGCCAATGTTAGTTCATTCTCACTCGATCATAGTACTAATCTATCATAGGATTATACTCTCTGTAATGTAGCAGACATATGGCTAGCTAGGAGCTTTAGGACATGCACTAATATAAATTTGACGTCCTTAGCTGACCATCAAGCAATACCGTGAAATGGGTGGCTCATTTGACAAGTGATAAACAATCATACATTAAACTTAAAAACCTGAATAATATAGCACCTATTCAACTTTAGCAGATTGAACCCAGCTTATTTACTTATCCATACAATGGTAATATGCAATCACTCTTTGCATACAAAAAACTGCATTTGGAAGCAAAAAAAATGTGGCATAAATCATACTTATTCTGCTTAGCCTTTGAGAACACATTTAATCTCACTCAATCAAGCTCGTTTCGTTGCATCAATCATCTTTTCACTATCCATTAATGATGTCATATTCTCTTGCTATATTATTCTCTTTGCTTGAAATCCATTCATGGGAGAGAAAACCCATCGACATCAACCCACTCTCATTCGTACTATCGTTCGGGTGCTTTGTCTTCTTTGACATGGCCAGATTCATGACCAGGAGAGAATCATAGGTGCTTGGAGCTGTGAGATCTGCTTCAAAGGGGAGGAGTTGAGAGAAGTGATTGTGGGCATCTATTTTTTTCAATCTGCAAGGCTGAATGGTCTCGATTCCCTTCATCAATTTGTGGGCTTACTATAGCAAGCATTCTTAGTGCATTTTTATGTTTCTGTTCATCACTGGACTTCCTGATGGTTACAACCTTGCACGGCTGTCACTTCAGCTTCGTCTTTGATAGTTGACGTTTTACTGTAGCAGTCTTTCGTTTTGTAATATTTTGTATTAAAGAGCTATTGTTACATCATGAGAGATGGGGAGGGGAAATTAAGATTCACGATAAGCGCATTTGATGGTGAGGTCAAAGCTTTGAGAGAGAGTTATACATTTGCAGCATTTCAAAAACTGCTGTCTAGTCATGAGTTATAACTAGTAAATAAAGCCTACAACATTTCTAGACTGTGCATTCCATGCATGTTCGACTCTGCCAAATTGGCAGAGTTTTTGGAATGGAAAAGCTTTTATCCTCGCATGGAGGGAATAAAGGCCTACAACATTCTTGTATTGCATTTCTACTTTTCTGCCTTTTAAACTATGGAGGGAATTTCGGTTTGAGGCTCTTTTGTTTTTGGGAATGGGTTTCCTCTTTTCATGTATTTTAAAGCTGTTGTTAAAAAAGGACAACTTTACATACCTTGGTCTTCTCTGATATTTTTACTGTCAGTTTTGTGACCTTGCTGTGACAGTGGCTGAAGTTGCAAGTAATCTTTTTAAACTGGCAATCTGCTGCATTCTATTCAGCCGCCTATTTAAAGCTCTAATTTCGTGCGTGTATGTGTGTGTATATCATCAGCAATCGATGGACAGAGTGGGTAGTTAAACGGGCCATTGATCTTTGGCTCAATTTGATTATAAAGTACCTTAAGGACTTATGGTTTGCCCTGGTGGACTTGAGAATGCTGACATTCATAAAATATAGATAACTTAAATTTGTATATTACTATTTCCAGCTGTCATCCAGAGCTTAGGAAAGTCTGAAATGATGTTCTCTTCCTCTCACTGGCAATACCCTTAAAAACATAAAGCTTAGCAAGAGCAGTTGTTAAAGAACTTCTGAAGGTGCATTAATGGCCCATGACATTTTTCAGAATCTGAAATTTTTGGATCTGATTTGAGATTTTGTGTTGCTCCCTTGTATCAGGGTCAATTATACGTAACTGCATAAAGCTTACTTTTTCAACTCTACAATTGCTTAAACTCTAGGAGTTTGATGTCTCTGTAATTCTTCTGTTAAAAGAATTATATTTTGATTTTTTTAATCGCCTTGTAGCTTGTTTTTTAACCTATCATGTTTGTGGATGGCTGCCTTGTCAGAACTGGGGAATTTGTTTAATCTTTTTTGTGTAGTAGCACTGCAGCACACAACTGTTAGAAATAGTGTGGTTTCTTGAAGACCACTAACATCATTGACTATGACTTGTAATCTTTTTGCATCAGAAAAATTGATCTAAATCTGTTTTGGTTCTTTGCCTCCATTGGGCGGGGTTCTTCATGCTAATTGCATTAATTGAAGCCTCGAAGGTCTTGGAGATCTATCAGATATAGATCATACTATTTATGAATGATATCATTGAGAAGAATCTTCAATTTATGAAGAACGTCACCCATTGTTTCACATTTCCTTGCTCTCTCTCAGAGGGTTTTGACAATGACAAATAACTAAATTGTGTAGTTTTTAATAAAAAATTACACATAATAACTAGCAGTAACAATACAGGCAAATTGAGCCCGCTGTATGAAATATGACATTTCTTTTTTAGCCTGCTTCTAATTTGGGACAAAATGTAGACGAAAGTGCATGTTTGAACGAAATCAAACTTATTTTCTTATGAAAATGTGTTGTACTGTTTATCTTGGCATATTTTTTTGTTAGAAATACTTATAGCTAATATCGTTGTGGTGCGTGGCAGGGTGGTTTTCCAGTTTAGCAATTCTGTGAAGATGTATCGGAATCCCATGCTTATAAGCTGCTGCAGCAAACGGCTTACCTTGAATTTCCTAATAGGGTTTGTATTAGGTGAAACATTACTATCTTGTCGGACTTAATTTTGTGATGTTGGATTTAGCACATATTATGACCATTAAATATCATTTTGCAGAAGAGTTGAAACCTGAATTTAACTGCC